GCGGCGGCGGCGGCGGCGGCAGCGGCGGCCGCCGTGCCCCGGTTGCGGCCGCCGCACGACAACCGCACCATGGTGGAGATCATCGCTGACCACCCGGCCGAGCTCGTCCGCACCGACAGCCCCAACTTCCTGTGCTCTGTGCTGCCCTCGCACTGGCGATGCAACAAGACCCTGCCCGTGGCCTTCAAGGTAAGCTGCGGCCACCCCCCGCCCCCGGCCGAGCGCCGCGGGACCTGCCGGCCGGCGTCCCCATACCCGCGGGTCCCGGGTCCCGGACAGCCTCTGAGTCCTCCTACCTTGGTGGCTCTGACCCGAGAGACCCCCGACTGGCTCTCCTCCTCCGGATCCCTCGGCGGGCTCCGGGCGCATGACCCCGCTCAGATCCTTCCCTCACCCACCTGTGCCGGCAGCCACCACCTTGGCCCTTGACCCCCTTATCCTTTCATTACCCCTCGTTCTAACCCACTCCTCTGAGCCGTCTCCCCTCCTCGTAGGAGCCCCTAGGTGCCCACTCTTGGCGCCGCCACCTCGGCTTATTCCACCCCGCCCCCATTCCCCAGGGGTGAGGAGCCCCGGCCTCCTCCCACGGGACTCCCGAGTCCCCCGCGCTGGGTAGCCCACCCTCCCGACACCGCGGGCTGCCCGCGCCGCCTTCCCCGGGGTCCCGCGCGCCACTACCCTGTCCTGTCCCAGCCGGACGCCCCTCCGCCCGGCTTGGCGCCCCCTTCTCTAACCCGCATGAGCCTCAGCGGCCGCGGCCCCTCCCGGACTCGTGGGCCAGTGTTCGTGGGGTGCCGGCGCCGGGCGTTCGCGTCCGGGGCGGGGCGCCGGGTGCCGGCTGCAGCGCGTGGGCCGCATGACCGGTGTCCAAGAGGGTCCCTGGCGAACCTAGGGACTCTGGGAGCGAGTGAGGGGGAGGCAGGACGGGGGCGTTTGCTCGGCTCGCAGACCCGCGCCAGTTCCCGTTACCGGGAGGAAGGCGGGGCCGCCAGGGTCGCCGCGCGCCCCGAGGCGGGAGAGCCCCGGAGTCCCGCGCGCTGGACCCTCGAGTGCGGGGAGGAGGCCAATGGAGGGGGCGGGGGCTCGGGCCGCCTCTGGGAGTCTGGACCCAGCTCCCCGCCTCGCCCCACCTGGGAGGGATGAGGGAAACCCGTGAAATGCCTTTGGCTCGCTCGCTTGGAAAACGGAGGTGAAAGTTTGCGGATTTCTCTTACTGGTACTTTTAAAGGACCTAAATCTCAAAGGGCCCTTCTGTTTCTGAAAGGTCGTGGGAGGCTCCGGCGGGTGGCCAGGGCTCGGAGGAGCGACCCCCGAGGCCTGAGAGCGCTCCCGGGGCGCCCGCGGCCTCCTCCGCCCGCCCCGCCGACCCGTTAGTTGGAGGGCGGGTGTCTGCAGCCGGAGCGGCAGGCAGCGGCTAGGCAGGTTGAGGGTGCAGGGTCCGAAGCCTCTCGCAGCAGTCGGATGGTTCTCCATGAGGCGGTCTAGGTTTCCCGGGACGGCCTTCGCCAGGGGGAGACGCGGAGCCCCCAGGGCCCGGCACGCACCGGGTTGATGGGGAAACGGTGAAACCGGGCAGTCCACACTCGCGGGACTGGACGCCCGAGATGGAGGGGGCGGTGAGCCAGACAGGGAGGAGAGCACTCCCAGGAAGACGCTTCCGGCCCTGTCTAGCCTCTGAACTTGGGAAGGTGGGCCTGGGTCCCTGGGTTTTGGGATCTGTGGAGATCAGGGTAAGCAAGGCCTGGGGGGCCGGGGGTAGTGAGGAATCGTGCCAGCCCCGCCACTGTGCACCCTGGGGCCAAACTCCCACAGGCCACTGGCAGTTCCCAGTTGTGGATCACCCCCCTCCCGCCGCCGCCCCACGCACCAATTCAGATTCCGTGTGTGGGTGGGGTGGAAAGGAAGAGGAGTCCAGGTCAATTAGAGCTGGTTATCTAGATGGGTCTTACATCAGAACAGAAATCAGAATGAATTGTTAAGGAAAGGGGATGTTGCATTCTGGGGCAAGTTTCATTTTGCAGTTGGTTCAAGAAATTGTGTTGTGTGTGTGTTTACCCTTCCATTTCTCCCTTTATAAACCACCCATTTTGTAGGTTAATGTTTTCCTCCTTGAAATATGAAAAGCTCAGAATGTATGTGAATTGTAGAAATTCGAATTTCCATAACAAGAGATGTCTTTTACAACATTCATCGTCCACAGGCCCAGAATGTTCTAATTCGCCTTAAGCGAAGAGTGGAAATTTGTTTCCACCTCCCCCCCGGCCCCCCCCCCCCCACCGCCAAACCCCTAAAAACACAAACAAAAAACCTGGATGAAAACAGCAAGTACAAATAGGTAGATATTTTGTCCCTAAATGCCACGTCAGGCATTCAAAATCAAGATATATGAAAATAGATGGGTAGGTACTTACATTTTAAAAAATACCGTTTAGGTGTTACGGTATTCTGCATTCCTTTTTTTCTGCTAAACATGTTCAATGTATAACTGTCTTGAACTATTTTCCTACATTTATGGTCCTGAGTTGATTTTGAGCCTTGGTATTTTGGATAGAAATGATCTTCTTCGTAGAACGCAATGAATTTGCATGGAACTTGACAGAATGCAGTGTCATTTGAGCTATTCTCAGATATTTTGGTTATTTTTAGGTTTTCTCATTACCACCCTTTAAAATGATTTTGAAAATAAATTGTTTTCTTTGCTACTAATCATCCTATTGTTAATTACAGAGCAGTTTTACTTCTGACCTGTAAGCAAAACCATAGATTATACATGACCATATTAAATTGAGTATTTTAATTCGTATTGATTGAAAAATAAATTGAGTTAACTTAAGACATAATTCGCTGTGTTCTCCAACCTCCATACCTGTATTTAACAAAATTTAGACAGAGGGTGATGTCTGAGATCCACTCAGTATACAAGTTTTGTCTCTGCTGAGAAAGATGTGTAGAGATTTGGAACATCCAGATTTTGACATTTTTTATTGTTTTCATCTGAATGTTAGTAAAAATGATCTCCCTTTACCTTTCTTTTGAGATAAAAGCCTGAGATCAGTAGACTTTCCACACCCTTGTAACGTAATCAAATACATCTGCAATGAAGAAATAATATGAAGTCTCAGTTTTAAAAGTGGTGACTGCAATTTGGCTATCATATTTAGCGCTGTGTACAAAGTTATTGTGTTGTTGGGTAGATAGTAGGTAGGTAAATATACCTAAAAAACACATACAGAACTTAATTGTTGAGAAATCTGGTATTCCAATTAATATATATATTGAGCCCATATTTTATATCTGTGACACTGAACTCAGCACTATAGAGAATCAGAAATGAGTTCAGTACATGGTATTTTGATGTGTTAATTTAAAATGATGCTTCAAAATGATATTGACAGTGTATTATATTAAGACATAAGTAACATATTAGTGTCGTTCATCTGATCTCGTTTTGGGATTATGCAAGAATACGTAATGATTTGTTTATATGCAGCATGTAAAACTGCAAAGACAACTAGTATGTTTTAAAATATGCAAAGTTGTTTATTCGTATTATATTTTAAACAAAGTTCTGCAGTTTTGTAATGTTCAGTCCTTCCAGGTGTCAAGGAAATGGAAATAAATATTTTTAACATTTCTTTCAGGTGTATCTCACTGAACGCTTAAAATAGTTAAGGGATACTATTAGAGGATCCCATGCCCTTTCTGTCCTAGATAATTCTAGCGACCAAAAAAAGAAAAAAAGAAAAAAAAAGCTTGCAAATTCAGTTCATTAGCTAATGGTCTGGTTAGAAATAGTGGAGAGAACATGTCAGCCTTATATCCAGTAGCACCCTTACAGTCAGAGGTCTGTCAGCATTTCCACCATGAAGCCTGGTGTTCAGGGTTTATAACTCAGTTGCTTTAAATAGCTTCAAGCTGAAACACTATGCAGAAGTTTTAAGTCCAGATGTATATTTTAAAACTAAAAATGGTGCAAGGCTATTGTGCTGTTTTAAGTTAGGGAACACTGGACTGTATACTTACCAGTATCATATGTTTTTCTGGCAAGGTTAAAGAAAGAAAACACATTTTTAGTTATATGATCTATTGCTCATAGTTAATTCTATATGTTTAATGATAACCTTTCGGTATTTGTCATAAGTAGAGTTTCAAAATGATGGAGCAATTTCTATTTGAAAATAATTTTTTTCAACCTCGTTGGCCATTTTTCTCTTCAAAAACAAGTATGCAACTAATAAATAGTTGACATCAGGGAGTTGTATTTTCCTAAGGTATATAATGATTAGGCTTTCTGTTTGTGTCTTTACGAATGTGATTATACCTAAACAAAGGAGAACAGATTATTAAATCTTTTAAAACGTGGTCAAGTCAACTATGCATTATTAAGTAGAATTATGTAAATTATGAGAGATTTCAAGTTGTGTGAGGACAGATGCATTTCTTGTGTTCTGCCTTTAGATGCAATATGAATTGAAGTTTAAAATTTTAGGACTGAATATATAAAAGGTAATTGAAACAAATAATTTTAGGAGGAAAATACATTTTTAAAAAATTTTAAGGAAACTTCTATTTGGAAACAGGCATGGTTAAGATATCTTTCATTATTTTCTCCCCCTTAGCATTGCTGTTTGTCTCCTTTCAAAACGCCAGCACATTCATTGTTAGATGATCCAAACCAGTTTGAAACATGGCCCATAAATTCCTCGCTTGTACTGATATAATTTCCATCAAATTTTTCTTTGACATATACTTTTTAAATTATGAAATGGTATTTTATATTGCACTTATTTTTTCTCTACAATTCAGTCAGGTTTTCCTGAATTCTAGGTTAAATTCTAAATATTCACTATAACATTTGTGAAACGTTTTACTAGTTTAAAGTTATCCTTAAATAATTACCATAAGAATTAAAGTTTTCCATTTTGCAATTGCTCCCTTACAGCTTTTGATTCCAAAGAAAGATTTGATCAGACTTTATCTTGAAAAATAATTATATTTCAATTTTGCTGCAGGTACAATGTGCCAAATGATATTGGTCTGTTAAGAGCAATTGATTGGTTAAAACTAGATTTCTGTCCATGGAAATGTCATAGGCAATTTTAATTTCCATGCAAAAATACCACAAAAACAATTTTAAGGGCCTGAGGTAATTCTCTATTGCTGTTTTTTTTTTAGGGTAATTCACAGATTTAGTCACAAGGAGTCTCATATAAAATTTCAGTAGCTTCTAGAGTTAAGTATTCTTTTACTTTATTTTGTATCAGATGGTTTAAATGCTAGTTATAGTGAGGTGTGCTAAATAAAGGAACTTTTTTCTCTGTTCTAAAATGTCAGGACACAAAATTACTTCCCTCTTCTCCCTGAAGTTTCTTGAATTTGTAGACTTTATATTTTAAAAACACCTAGAAATGTAATTGTCAAGATTTCATCACAAACTGTTCTTTGCAGAACGGATCTTTTGTGTTGGGTAGTATGGAAACAAATTTTAATGTGTGCTTACTCCTAACCAGTTAAAGAGCGATTTTTGATTGCTCTCTACCCCTTAAAATGTTTTCCATTGCTTGGGTTTGGTACAGATGAAATGTGTAAAAATTTCTTGATTCTTTTGGTTTTCTTTTAGATAAACACAGTTGAGAATCTCTAAGGGAAACTTTTTAGCTTCAGAGATCTACTTTTTTTTTTTAAAACCCTCTGACATATAATTATACTTCTGATTGATATAAAGTCAAATACAGTACTCCCTCCCTCTTTTCTTTCCTCAGAAAAACATTAGGCATCAGATTTGGTAGAGTGAATCGTAGAAAAACCCCCAACATATTTAGCCATTAAAACAGAGTTCAGCCATAACAGGAAAAGTTGTCACCATATTGTTGTGAGCATTTCATTTTTAGGCCAAGTTCTAAGCCTCATAGAAGACTCACACAATCTGTGATTACCTTTTTGTTTTGTTATTAAGTGGAATACGTAAAACATACCAATATTGAACGTGGTCATTATTTTGCTTAAGCAAAGAAAAGTGGATTTGTGTATTTCACTCTTAGGGATCTTTTCTTTCATATTTTTCCATATTGAATCAATTTTCCTTTTCTTCTAAGTAAAAAAAAGGCCATTATGTTAAAAATATGCAGTAAAATAATAATGTCCCAGAACTCTTGAAAATCTTTATATTGGGGCAGATTTCTTTCTTTCTTTTTTTTTAAATTTAGCCAGACAGAAGTGAAACCCATCAGCAGCCATCTTCTATCTCTCAACAACACCAAAAACAAAAACAAAAAAAAACCAAAAAACCAAACACAACACACAAAACAAACGTTTCAGGACATGAAGTAGAGAATTACATGTCCAATTGAATGCTTTTGGGATGCTTATAAGTGAAAGCCCATGTTTAGCACACAGCAGACTTGGAACTGAAGTTAGCCTCCTCATTTTACAAAAAGAACATCATTACAATTACACTCTACTTATATAGTATATTCTATATTATGTAGACTTGAAAATATTATTTCTAATTTATATTGGAAAACTGTGGTTCCTGGAGATGAAATTATTTGTGTGACATCATAGCAGATGTATAAGAGAGGTGAGAAAAAAGAGCGGCCTCTTGATTTTAGGTGCATTCATTTTTTTCCGAGCAGTACAAACCTTTCTGCCTTCGTTAGTATGCTTACTGGTTCCATATTTACTTTGACATCAAAAGCCACACGGCAGGTGCTAAAACGCGATACGCTGAGTGTAAAAAACTTTCAGATGAATACTGGCCAAACATGATCAGTTGTTTCAGTGTCTTCAAATGTTCACATTTTTGGCCTTGTGAATTCCAAAAAATTGAAAATCATATTGTGTCCAGTAGGAGTTCAGCATTACCTCTATTCCATAGCCCCTTGAGACATTAGATCAAGGGTGCAAGGAGGAAATCATGTCCTCGAGGGACTGGCCCCTGACCTGGGAGATTTCTCAGACTGAACAGAGTAACCAGGAGGATAGTCAGCAATTCCCTCTTCTCTAGGACAGAAAAAGTTGTCAGAAAACTAGTTTGATTGCAAGAGCATGTTGCTGTTACCGGGAGATGCTGACTCAGCCTTTAACTGGTTCTCTCTCTTAGAGTGTTAGCTGGGAGCCTCACAGACTATTTGCTGTGGGAGGTGGTGCCCTTCATGGAACCCTTTCATCAGTTTCTTTCAAAAGAATTTACCAAACACTTACTATGTGCCAGGTAATGTTTGGGCACTGGGCATTTGGTGGTGAGCAAGACTGATGAAGGCCCTTCCCTCATGTAGTTTCCAGTGTATAATCTAGTTTCCTAGGAGTGAGTCTCACCGCTTTGGTCTAGTATATCACAAGGATTAGGTAGATCACTAATATATGTACATGGAAATGAGGATCATTTGAGTGCAGCGGGGTGCTGTGGAAGTGGGCTCTAGAGGGAAGGCTATAGGATTTTAAGCTGAATAACGAAGCGTTAAAGAGGGAATGGAATTGAGAAACAGCCTAAGAGAAAAGCAAGGGCAAAAAAAAATATATATATATATATATTGACAACTTTCTTGCGTGGTTGGTTGTTTGCCTGGCCAGAATAGAGGCTGTGTAGGAGAGAACTGGGATGAGGGTCATGGGTGGGGAGAACTCAGCCCTAAAGCGTAGTTACGGTGTCTGTTTTATCACACTATAAAAAAGTTGCTTTAATGAGAGTATTTACAAATTGCATTGGGAGCATGGAATTAAATGCTTAGGTTTGCCTTGTGGAAATCTCGACAAAGGAGAGGGCCAGCACGAGGCGCAGAAGGGTCAGTGGGATATTTGCCAGACAGGCGAGTGCACATGGGTGTTATTATCAGAGACTGGTGGGCCACCTTAGCTGGAGCCATTGCCTAGTAACCACAAGGGCATCTGGAAGCTGAATGAGGAAGAGGCGGAAATAATCTGAATGTAGGATCCTGGAAGTTAGTGGAGAGAAAGGATATTATCGAGGGGCAGGGGGTGGGTAATGGATCAAGAATAGTGTGTCTATGTGACAGCGCAGCCTGTGCAGCCTGTCTCCCCCAGCGGCATTCCCTTACCAGGCTTCTTGTTAAAAAGGGGCGCCCGTTTGCGAGTCAGCTGACCTTGGTTGCCAGTGTGATCCCTAGCCCTGGAGTGGTGCAAATGTTTATTGACCTCAAAGACCGATTGTCTGGATCCTTCCTTGACTGAGTTCATCTGTTGCAGGTTAGCTGTTGAAGGTGAAGGAGGCATCTGTGTCATTCCAAAATGGCAGACGGGACAAGACAGAATCAAGTTTGGCCAAGGGTGTATTTTGGATCTGTACCACACTCATTTGTCAGCGACCGTTTTCGTTCTCGTTACGTACCTTTTATTCTGCACCTAGACTTTAAGTTTCTTGATGGCTTTGTCTGTATCTAACCCCGGAGTGGGCATTCAGTAATTATTTGCAGTGTGATTAACAGCTGAATATGTAGCCCAAAGTAAGGAGATGAAACGTAGTGCTGGATACCCCACCATATTTAGGCTTCCATACAGCCGGGAACTCTGAGATTTCATCCGAATGTCTTCTCCCATAGAGCTGACCAGACTTTCTTTTTTCAGCCTGTGATCTGGATGAGACCACACCTCGGGGCGCTCCAGGCTGCAGACAGGCGGTGCCTTAATATGTACGATGCAATCTGCAGATGGGGCATCAGCCTTCCTTCTGTGGCATAATTCCTATGGACAACCTAACATGGGGATTTAATAAAAATGTACATGTATTCTGTGAAGAATCCAGCAACAAATGAAGGAAACTTTTGCTGCCTTTGAAATGGGTGGACCCTGAAACGTTGGTCTGTTTGAAGTGGCATCCTGACCCGTATGCAGATGCTTCATTCCTGTCTGCCATTACTGGACTGGAGCACTAAATCCTGATAAGACACATCATTTACAGTGGGAATATAGTCTCAACATCATTTACACTGGGAATATAGTCTCAGTTTTGAAGCTTTTCTGATGTGCCATTATTGCCGCTGTGTTTCCTGTTTTATGTAGGTGGTGGCCCTGGGAGAGGTACCAGATGGAACTGTGGTTACCGTCATGGCGGGCAACGACGAAAATTATTCTGCCGAGCTCCGAAATGCCTCTGCTGTTATGAAAAACCAAGTAGCGAGGTTCAACGATCTGAGATTTGTGGGCCGGAGTGGAAGAGGTAGGTCTCTGATTTTTAATATTGATAGTGGAATAAACACATTAGGATCTTCTGAGGAAATGTAGGCTAGTGTGTATACAAATCAGCACCTTCTTCTGCTGAATAGAATTACTGAAGGTTTTATTTAAGTATGTCCAGATGAAGTTGAGTGTGTTTTTGAGTACTCAGGCCTTTTTCATTTGTTTTATGATATTGAAAATTCAAACAGTGTTTTCAGAAAAACTGGTCCCTAATTCCACTGGGCGTGAGCACATTAGGTGGAGAGAACAGTTGGAGGTTTAAGTTCTGAATTATGAGATGCCAAATGGCTGAATAAATTGAGTGGCAGAGAAGAAAGAAAAAAGAATGCGATGGATCAATTTCCTGATAGTATCAATTTTGTTGTAAGTCGTAGCAAGGACAGCCGGCCTAATGTTCTTCACTTATCTATCACGTTACCTCCCTATGATTTAACTTACTCTTGTAATAAGATTCTATTTAAAAAAAATCATAGTTTTTTACAGAAGCCTGTACACAATGATGTGTTACGCATGTCAGAATGACCGTATAGAGTTGCCCAGACACACGAGTGATTAAGACTAAATAATTCCCACATTATTTGAGGGTCTCCCCCAGCCGCATCCATATTCAAATATTGGGAGTCCTTAAAAAGATCATAAAATAGAAAACAATTTCTTTTAGGATTCTCATAGCTGTTTCATAGGGGGATTAATGTTTTAGAAAATAGTCTCTAAGGAGACCGACATTTTGCCTTTTATTTTTCCCGTGGAGAGAATTTTAATAGTCCTTCATGAGAAGTATTCTGTTCATTTATGTATTTACTGAATCTAATATTTCCATTTTAAGTGTTTCGATACGAAGAGAGAAAATAGACCACTTTAGGACTGAGGTGAAATAAATTATAACGACCTATGGAAGGACTTCTACCCAGGTTTGAATTAGGAAATAAGAAGCATCAATTTTTAAGCCATGTCCGATAATTGCTCTTTAGTTTGGATCAGATGTCATATTATTACCATTGTAAAACCTTGATAAGGGAAATTCAAGCAAGGCTGTTTCCGATGAGTAGTTTTAGTTTACTTTCTAGGAACAGGGCCAAGAAGCTGTACTTTTTAACTTAAAAAAAAAAAAATGATGCATGCTAATGAGATACTGTCACTGAAAGGTTGTTTGAAATAAAATGAGGCTCAGAACCTCTGGTCGACTCAAAACTAAAGGGGTTATCTCTGCATCAGGTTTAGTTTACTTTCATTAAAAGAAAAAAAGACACATCCTATCTCACTGTTGACTGATTGGGTGTCAAGTGTATATTCTTTTTTATTTTTTATTTTTTTTCTGTTAACTGGTACAGGTCCACAGTACAATAAAAGTTTCTCTTTTTTCTAGTAGGAATCAAGAACAATTTGAACATGATGATTTACCTGCATGGTCTGAATTGCATCTTTCTTCTTATGTAACCTTATTTTGTTTTTAATTAGAGTAATGAATTTCTGTATGTAAAAGACTGGACACTATACCTTACAGATTCAAGCTAGTGTTTCCATTTACCTTACCTTTGTATTACATAGATGCTGCATGACTTTTCTCTGATCAATTTGAGTAGAAACTATGGCAAAGTGATAGTGTACTTTGTAAACCCTCAACATATTTATTTAAGAAACTTCAAAGAGAAACAAAGGGTGTGCACTGTTTTACTATATTGGCTTTCTGAGTTTTGGCTGGTTTCCCAAATAGCAATTTTTATATTTAAAAAAAAAAAAAGACAGACTTAACTGCTTGCAGACTTTTCACGCATGGAAGATGAAGAAAGCTTCTTTTGATGAAGTGTAATTATGTCCAAACAGAGCTGACCCCCTCCCCCTATATTTCTTATGATCTTAACTGAAGAAAGTAGGATTTTTCCTTTGAAGCAGCCGGGACTTGGTGGAGGATCTGAAATGCTACAGTCTGTTGCCAGAGGCAGGATGGAGAAATTGGTCCAGACTTGTCTTCGAGACTTAGATTGGGGGTTGGGGGGGGGGGAGCGGGTGGAGAGAGAAAGAAAAATTGATTTATCACTAATAATAGATTTTTATATCATGGCATGAACATTATGTGAAAGGAAACAGTAATATGAAACTAAAATGAAGAGGAAAAAAAATAGCATTGATAAGGGATACCATTCTTTGAAAAAAAAAAAAAAAGGGTCAGTGTTTCAGTGGCAGGAAACCCTTTAACCTGCCTGTGTACCTGACCTGCTTTCTAAAAAAACTCTTTCCGGCTTCCTCTTTGATTTTCACACTTCTGCATTCCTCCTCAGTTAGGAAGTCTGGATCATCATCACGATGAAGATGAAAATACCATTGTATTTTTTTTCCCCCCAGCCATTTAAAATTTCTCTTTTGAGTAGCCTTAAAAAACGACAACCAGCAAGTTTCTTGAATGTTAACACTTTTTCTTTTCTTTTCGGTGGTAGAGATATAAATTCTCAGAAATCGAAACACAGTTTTTAGATTTATAAGGGAGGCACTTCACTACTGACTTTGACATTATGGGTTCTCAGCTGACTTTTGAAAGTACTTTGAATTAACAGTAGAGCATCAGTGACACTTGTATTAAGTTAGGAGTGGCTTAAGGTTTTTAGTTGTCTTTTCCTTTTTTCTCCTTTATATTTTCAACAGAAGTCTGTGTTCGCTATTGAAACAGAAATATTTAGTCCTTAAAAGTTTTCTTGGGGTGCTTCTTCACTTTCCTATCAAACATGCTGCTTTCAGTTTAAAAGCATTTGTAAGTACCTGCACTGTGCAGAGCAGGGCACTCTATCAATCTAAGATGGAATCCTTGCTTGAAGTCTTCCCCTGTTGACTGTTCCTCATAGCCTCTCAGGCTAGGTTAGAACTGTCTTTCAATGACAGGTCCGATGTTTATCTCAAAAAATAATATGTCTTAAGGACATAATAATTTGGAAGTAGTTCCTAGATGAAGCCAAGGGTGGTAGCTCAGTTGTCTCATGAGCTAGCTCCCTAACTAGGAGCCTGCATTTTTTAAACAGAAGCCTGAATTTTTTTTTTTATCACTTATGGAAAGTGACAAGCAGTGGAATTTGGTAAAAGCTTTTTTCAAAAATTTTCGGAAAATGTAAGTAAATCGTGAATACTCCTGTAAACATTTGATTTAGGAAATTGGTTATTACTTTTAAGGTGAACAACCAGTTGCTTCGTTGGGTGGTAGTTTCTGGAAGTTTCTTGAACATGATGTTCATGTTCCTTCTGAATGGGCAATAAGAGGTAGAAGGGACCTCCTTGATTTTTATTCCCGTTGTTAAAGTACATCTTGTTCCTCAGGATTGGATTTAGCAGATCGTAGTCGTACTTAAATGCCTGTTTCTCCCCCCTGCCCCCAAACCCACCTGTTTTGAAAAAGAAATGTTTATTGGTAATGCGTTGAACATTTAGATGCTTCATACTCACAGAATGAATTTTATAATTGGCTTTTGTTCTTATGCAAGGTGTTTGAATTTGGGAGGAGCATCGATGACTTTTAATAGTCTAAGTAAGATGTGAAAGTCTCAAATAGAAGTGTTCCCAGAACCAGTTTTTGACAAATTCACGGACTGTATTGCTAGCAAGTTACTTACCCTCATTAAGGACAATCGAGACCTATACATCCTTGATTTATTAAGATTCACGACATGGATGGCAACTGCCTTCCAAGCACTGTCCTTGCAGGATTGCAGTCCTGGCTCATGGACCATTAATCTGACCCAGAATGTCGTCTTCTAGGGTTTAATATAAATTGACTTTCAATCTAGGGAAACAGCCCATTCACTCCTCCAGATCTCTACATTGTTTTGAGGTCTTGATCTGGATCCAGTGGCTTCCTAGTCAACATTCTAATCTCCAATTCTATAGATTCTGAGTTTTTTGTAATTAGCTTAGACTCCCAGCTGCCTTTTTCTTCCAGCTAGCCTGAATGTTTATAATAAATCCTCTGGTTCCTACCCAGACAACTGCATTTCTTAAACCCATGTAACATTCGATCTATAATGGATGAAATATGATAGATCAGTGATACTTACAGAATTAATGCTTTCATCATCCTGGCTGAGATACTACATTAGTGGATTTATATTTACTGTTTCTTGGTCTTATAGAGCTTATTGGGGCATGTGTAGAAATAAATTATCGAATTAATGGTTTAGGATGTTCTCTGACAAAGAAGAACACTGATTTTAAACTCTGGAAGACCTGGGTTCAGACCCTGATTTTTTTCTTCTTATTAGTTGTGTGGTTGAATTACTAAGCCTCCCTGGGCTTTGGTTTCCTCATTTGTGAAATGGGGGTGATGAACCTAACTGGATACGATTAAAATGAGATAATGTAATTAATATAATTATCTTATAGATAATTAAATGAGATAAAAAGGCTGGCATTTAATAGTTTTCTAATCAATATTCATCTTTTGCTGTCCTCCCTCCTCCCCCATTTCTGTTTTTCCTCCCCCCCCCTTTTTTATATTGGCCATGGAAAAGCATAGCCAAAGAGACTTAAAACTATATATATGGAGTAACAAACGATGTGTGTCTTAAACATATTTTAGGAACTTACATGGTCTGGGTTGAAAAGAAAACCCATTCACTAGATTTGACAGCCAAAGACCTGTTCTACATTAAGCCTTGTATATAACCTGTTCCATATTAAGCTTTGAAAAGATTGCATTAAGCTCTGCATTGCTACATATTGTTTAAGATTTGTGTTTTGATTTAATACCCTCGAGCTTTCAGTAGAGGGAAAAACAGTCTCTGACCAAAAAACAAAACAAAATGAGCTGTTTCAAGGTCTGTTACAGGAGCAGGCCAAATGAATACTCTGGCCTGAGATCGCTGAAGGTTTTATTGAGTCACTGTTTCACGCCCACCTTTTCCTGTCTTGTAACAGTTTGCAGTTTTGACTATCTGACATGACTAACCGTTGCAAATCTAACTGATTACAACTGTCAGTGAGTCTGTGTAGCAGAGTCTGGTATCTTCTTCTGGAGAAAGCAAACATCCGATTCTGCTACCAAACTTTTCTGTCTTTCCCAACCCCCCACCCCCCATTCATCACCTTCAGCTCATTAATTTGAAACATCAGATGTAACATTTCAATGAAGCACACCCTCTGCTAAAAGCAAAAATTCGTATTTATATTGGGAGATGTCATATACATTTAGCAAAACATAAGTCACTGTCAGGGAGTTATTTCAAGACTTAACAGCAAGGATGGGTGTTTAGGGAAAGGGGGTGGGCAGGGAGGAGAAAAACTTTGTTCCAGTAATGATGAAATCATCCTACCACAGGCATATTAAGGCCAGGACAGGAGACACTGGCTCCTGTTAAAATGATTCCCATAAGAACCGTCCTCTTTCATCTTCTTATTGTAGTGCAGTTAAGCAAATGAAATGCTAAAGCCATGTGAAGTAAATAACATAATCAACAGTGATTTACTATTGTTCTCTCATGGGGTCATGACCTAATCCTAAATAAAGACGTCTAAAATTGTCTGTGTTTGGATGTGTTCCTGATGTTGGAGAAAACTGAAAGGAGGAGAACCTTCCTCAAGTGGACCAGAGTTTCTGTTTTCATTACAACTGTGGCCACTGAGCAGCTTTTCTGGGAACCGGAGTCCTCTTGTATAGCGCGGCGATGGAGGCGATGACCCACACACGCCATGTGTGTGATCACTGTGTAAAGTGGCCGTCCCAGGCTTTCTAATTTAGAACAAGGAGTCCTGACCCCTGTGTTGGTTTCATGAGCTCCTCAGAGATGCCAACGCGCAATTTCTGGACGTCTATGCTGCTCTGTTATCATCGGTACTGTCTTTTTATATTCACTATGGATTTTCCCCTTTACATCTGCAGGCAAGAGTTTCACCTTGACCATAACTGTCTTCACAAACCCTCCCCAAGTAGCCACCTATCACAGAGCTATTAAAGTTACAGTGGATGGACCCCGGGAACCCAGAAGTAAGTACTTGCCTTCCTATTGGAGATGGTAACAGGATGTGTGGAGACCCCCCCCTTCCCCCCCCCCCAGGAACAAATCCCAAGGAAGTTAGTGCTACTTTTACGTAAATGGTTTCTTTGCAGAGTTTGCTACCTGTGTTTACCTGTGTGTATTTTCACGAGGGACAGTTACTCGAACTTCACAGTTGGTAGAAAATCAAATCACACTTTTGATTTTGCCACAAAATCGCTAAGGCCTACACCGCTTGGGGACACGAGTGGACAATTATTCAGTCACTGTAACTCCTTGCTAAGGCATTCTGCTCCCCCACTGCACACAATAGACAGGGCAGAAGAGACCCATGAGAGCTGAGGAAGAAAACAACAGTCTGCAAAATCTTGAGCTTAGTCAAAAAGCATTTGCGTGTGTTTCCCATGGTCTAAGAATGTGTCTTAACTTTTTAGCTCGCCCACTCAATTCCCTTTATAAAGAGCACACTGCTTAATTACAAAGAATTTATTTGCAAATGATAACTTGCTTGATTGTTACAACACTGTTGTTTGGTCATGTTCTGGTAATTGTTATAGATAGTTTCTTTTAACAGATAGAGTCAAACCAGGTTTAAATCAGCCTTTGTGTATTTGTCTGTCTGGACATCCAGAAGGTTCATCCAGCGTCTCTTTAAGGTAGTGCCCATCATCCATTTGGGCCAATCAATATGCATTTTCCTCCTAAATCTAAATTGAGACAGGCTTTCTCCGCCCCCCGCCCCCCAAAAACCTGATTTGATCAAACTTGGTACAGCACCATTTAGACATATTTAGAGATTAAAGATTATTTGATATATATAACATGAAAAATTCTGTGCCAATGGAAACATATTGAACTCTGCCTTTGATGAGTGAGCACATTGGAGTCCTAGCTATTGTGTTTAGAGAGTTTAATTTGGTTTGTGATGCAGGTACAGCTGGCAGAGTATTTGTTGTATAATGATACATCTGTCTAGACAGTAAGAGTGACATTTCTTCTTTTTTCCTAAAACTGAGAGAAAAGGGCTGGTAAAGTTTTCCTCTCCCCAGGTAGCGTGTCTTTTAGGAGTGGGAACAGACTGTCTCTTCTCACAAAGGCTGACTGCTTGTCTGAAGTAGGGAGGTTTCCTGCCTCAAAAGCCAGTCTTTGAGGTTTTTCCTTTCTCCTCCTTTCATGTGTATTGCTTCTTCTCAGTTCACAAGGTCGGGTCACTGCTGGCTCTGTTTGGTTTGCGAACGGTCTGTTGGGCGATTGTCACACACCTGTCTCCAGTAGCCCCTAATCTCTGGTTCTAAGGTCCAAGACCGGGGCTGTCTTGTCTGGTTTGGTGCTTTGGCTGACTTTTCTGCACTGCCATAAATTGGGGAAGACACCTTGTGATGGGAGACACAGGTTATCTAATTAGCCCTTGAGTTCCTCAAAAGGCAGGGACACCCACTGCAGTCATGCATAAAGCAGGACAGTAGTCTTTTGACAGTCAGCACTGCTAATCTTTATCTCTCAAAGATGTTTCCTGCTGATCTCAGCAGCTTTTCTCAGTTCTTGGAAAAACCACTATTATATGTGTGTATGTCTGCGTGCCTCTGTTTGTGTATGAGTCCATACACTCCAGAGCTGATGTTCAAAAGTTGATGGTTGGGGGAGGAAGCAGGGAAGGGTGGGTGGGTGCTGTCCTGTTCTGAAAGGGGTGACAAAAGGTGAGGAAGCAGGGTAGCTTCGGGAAAGCCCCTTCTCTTTCAAGGGAGGATACCATTCCCTCATTCCCAGGAGGTTGTTGGCAGAAGTGATTAGTTGGTAGGCTTGTGCCCTGTAAAGGCCGAGAAGTGCTCTGAAAGCAAGGAGCGTTCAGAGTAGGGGGGCAGATGGTATATGTGTGACCTGAGTTCAGGCTTTGGGTGCTGCCGATGGTGCTTGGGGGGTGGGCAGGTAGAGTTCTTGAGCGGCAGACCACTGCCCTAGCTTAGCCTGAGTAACATTTTTCACAAACCAGAAATTATGTGACAATGTGAAGTCATTTCTCTGACATCATGCAAGGTGGCTTGCCGAACTCAGTGCCTGGATACAAGCATGGGTATGGTATCAGTAACATCTTAATCCCATAACCTTGACTCTGTGTGCGGTATTATTTCCTTCTGCTCTGCTCTTGGCGATCTTGGGCATTGTATAGCACTCTTCTCAATATTGTTCTTTTTTTTTTTAATGTTTATTTATTTTTGAGAGAGAGAGTGTGAGCAGGGGAGGGGCAGAGAGAGAGGGAGATTCTGAAGCAGGCTCCAGGCTCTGAGCAGTCAGCACAGAGCCCAACACGGGGCTTGAACCCACGAACTGTGAGATATGACCTCAGCCGAATTTGGATGCTTAACCAGCTGAGCCACCCAGGCGCCCCTCAATATTATTCTCTAAATTTGAGACTCCCAGGTGTGAAAAATGCACAGGATTTTCCATTTTCTTCAACTATAATAAGATTTTGATCGATTGGTACATATATAATGTTAAATGGAAAAAAAAGGCTAGAATGTGGGGTGGCAAACTTTTTCTATGAAGTGTCAAATAGTAAATAATTTCAGCTCTGTGGGCCATATCTTTCCCTACCACAAGTGCTCAACTCTGGCATTGTAGCTTAAAAGCAGCCTTAGCCAATACATTAGCGGGTGGTTGTGGCTGTGTTTCAATAAATCTTTATTTACAAGAACAGGTGGTGGGTCAGATTTGGCATACAAGTTGCTGTTTGCCAACCCTTACTCTAGATTTCCAAATGACTTACATCGTTAACCCTTTCCAGACTAGGGCCTCAGAAAAAGGCTTTCCCACGGAGAGAGAAAAAGACAATGCAATTGTTTTAGCCTTCTCTCCCGCAAAATTATAATTATTTAAGTAGAGATTGTCCTAGAGATAGGATTCATCTGTTTATTATTGTAATGGTTTGATGAAGCTGAGGATTTTATAGCATTTATTCCTGTTAATGGAATTTTACTCCTTCTTCCAGAGATCAGAGTATATGTTGAAAAGGCTCCTTCTGGTAGATCAGCTATGTGGACAAGGACAAATTCTGAGTTACCTGGTTGGGTCTTTATTCAGCCTAGCACAGTGATTAAGGGTGTGGGCTTTGGTGTCAGACTGTCTGGATTGAAATCCCAGCTCCACCACTTCCTAGTTGTATGGCGGTAAGTGAGTCACCTAACCTCTGTTTGCCTCAGTTTCCTCATCTGTTAGAGTGAGAATAGTAACAGTATTTTCCTCATCAGTTGCTGCAGAGATGTAAAATGATGTAATGTATGTAAAATGCTAACACAGTGACTGTCATCTATTTACTGCCCGTTAAGTGTTAGCTGTTATTACATAAATTCCCTTCAGTGTCAAAAGTTTGCTGTAGAGTTTTGCTTATACTATGCTTCCGGGAAATAGATTAGAATCTAGATTCTGCTCCCCCGTGGGCTATTTTTTTTTTTTTTCTTCTTGCAGACGGTTTTACTAATTTCTGCGCCTTTGTACATGACACTCATAAGTGTTAGAAACGGTGCCTTGAGCAGGTATTCGTGCTGCCTGGGGACAGCGCTGCAGAAGGGATGAGAAACAAAATTGGCAGCAAAGACGCATCCCAAGACGCGATGGCACTGGTGCCCCCCTCTGAGGCCCTGCTTATCAGCACATCTGCCGGGACTTGCTTTTCACTCAAAAATCAGAAAGGTTTCATCCTTCCATGTTTTTTGTCTCTGGCAGCTGAACCGGTGCTGTCACATCACAAACAACTTCTTTTCTCAATATACACATCTGGCGCTGGCAGTTGGACTCACTTCATAAGAGCACATGATCATCACTCATTACAAGATTAAAAAGTACCCCATGGCATCATTGATGTTTTTTAACTTTGATCTTCTGCAGTTGTGATTCATCTCGGTTATAAAACTTCCCTTGAAAGGAACATAGCCGATGACTTATTAGAACCTTCATCTTAAGTAGCGTAAACATGAAAACGGTGCACATCTTTACAAAATGCCATTTGTTTTCTCTGCCAGCTTATCGTTTTAAGACATGACATCATATCCAGGATCCCAAATTTGTACGTCTTGTGTTGAGGCAAGGCGTTTTGACCTCCTGCAAGCGGGAGAAGTCAGTGTAGCGTCAGCAGCAGTGCGTCCGGATGCCTACCTCTTTCAAACATCAGTTTCTATTAGGATCCTTTGTTCCACGTCTGCCCTTGGTCCTGACTGCAGTCTGACTTCAAGACTTTCTCCAGGAAGGTGAAAGCTTGGTTAGCCACGTCGGCGATGTGGTTCCGGGTTAGGGAAGAGGGCTGATGGGGAAAAGGTATTATTGGCTGTGCAGAGGATGGAAAAAGAAAAAAAATCACCTTCCACAGTGGGGATCCTTTACATCCTCGTGCTGTTCTTTCAGTGATCTATTGATACATAACAAACGATCCCGAAACAGAATGGCTGAAATCAACCACCAGGTGATTATTTCTCATGGTTCGGCGGGCTGCCTGGGGTTCATCTGGATCGGTTTTCTGCAGTCTTGCTTAGGGTCTTTTGTGTGGCCGTGGGAAGATTGTGGCTGGTGCCAGAGTATCCATGGTGGTTTCATTCTTCTATCTGCTGCCTCGGCGGGATGGCAAGGAGGTTGGAACGGGGGAGTGGGGCCTTTCTGTCTCTCCATGTAGTCCTGGAGCCTTTCCCCTCTGCATGGCCTTTCCATGTGGTCTGTCCAGCACAGCCCGACTTCTCATATGGTAGGTCAGGGCACCCAAAGCTATGAGAGTGGGACCTTTTAGGCTTTCTTAAGGCTCAGAACTGGCATGGAGTCACTTCTTGCATATAGTGTTGGTTGAAGCAAGATACAGGTGTAGCCTAGATTGAAGGGGAAGAAATCCACAGAGCTATGAATGATGGGGGCAGTGGTTCATTGGCTCACTCACCAATATCATCAACTTCCATAAGTGCTTAGATGGTAAATGTCATTGTTGCAATAGGAGAAATGATTGTTTTGAGGT